CCATGCCCACACCCACACCCACAACATTTTCAAAAAAATGTTCTTAATCGTCTTGAAAATTCAAATATATATCATTTAGATGTTGGTGCTATGTATCCAAATATAATTTTAACAAATTGTTTACAGCGATTAGCTATTGTTGATTCAACAATATGTGCATAATGTGATTTAAATCGTCCAAATGCACATTGTCAACGTAAAATGGATTGGATATGGCGTGGAACTTATGTTCTGGCTACACGTAGTGAAATACAATGAATTCAATTACAACTTGAAAATGAACGATTTTCATTTAATGGATAAACAATTAAAAAAAAATTATTTATAGATATATCAAAGAAAGGTCGATATTGATTTTAATCTTAATGAATAATCTTAATTGTTTGTTCTTTTTAGCTAATAATAATAATATTCTAGCATTTCATCAATTACCAGAAGATATTCAATTATCAATTGAACGTAAACGTTTAGCTAATTATTGTCGTAAAGTATATAAAAAAAAAGTAAATCATACACGAGAAGAAATTCGTGAAACAACTGTACGTCAATGTGAAAATTCATTTTATGTTGATACTGTCCGAGCATTTCGTGATCGACGTTATGAATATAAAGGTTTATCATAAACAATGGAAAAGAATTTAGCTAATGCAATAAAAAAAGAAAAAGATGATTTTAATGAAGTAAAAAGATGTAATAATTTGATTGTTATTTGTCTATGTTATTAAATTTCATTTCTTATTTTCTTAAAATTTTTTTTCTCATCTTTAGGATTCATTACAACTTGCACATAAATGTATTCTTAATTCATTTTATAGTTATGTCATGCGAAGAGATTATTATAAATCTTTATCAAATATTAAATAAAATTTTTTTCTTTAGATGCGTGATGGCATCGAATGGAAGTGGAAGGTATTGTTTGTACAATAGGTTCAACAATCATTAAACGTACTCGAGAAATTGTTGAACAAATTAGACGACCTTTGGAACTTGATACAGTAAGATATCGATTATTGTGATTTAGTAAATATCCCAAGTTTAGGATGGTATATAGTGTGTATTACCAGCAACATTTCCTGAAAATTATATATTAATAACACGTGATCCATTACATCCAAAAGTTGTTATATCATATACATGTAGTCTATTAAATTTACTTATTAAAGATTATCATACAAATGATTAATATCATGAATTAGTTAATAAAGAAAAATATCTTTATGAATTTCGTTCAGAAAATTCGATAGTTTTTGAAATTGATGGTCTATATTTAGCTATGATATTACCAGCATCAAAAGAAGAAAGAAAACGTATAGAAAAACCTTATTGTGTATTTAATATGGATGGTTCAATAGCTGAATTAAAATATTTTGAAGTAAAATGTAATGGTGAATTACAATTAATAAAAATATTTCAAGCAAGTGTTTTTGAAGCATTTCTTAAAGGAACAACACTTGAAGAATGTTATAATAATGTTGCAACTATTGCTGATTATTGGCTTGATATGTTCAGATTCTAAAGATACATCAGATAAAGAATTATTTGAATTAATTCCGAAAAGAAGAACTATGTCAAGAATGTTATCTGATTATGAAGAAAAAAAATTAAAATAAATTTCGACAGTCAAAAGGTTAGAATTATACGAAAAAAAAAGAAGCAATTGTATAGTTTTTGATGATATCTTTAGATATTATATTGCTAAATCAGTATCTGTTTGAAGCATAGTTTTCGATAATTTTCTGAAGTCGAAAGAACTAGAAATTTGGCAGACAGTCTTCAGGCAACAAATGAAACTTCCATAAACACGGTGTAAAAAGTGATGGAGACTAGTTCTTGCCTAATCAAGACCTATGGTCTTAAGATCTCAAAAATATACGATAAGTTCAACGTCAAAGAAACGTTATTCACTAAATTCCTAATAATACATTCATATACATAAAGAGACGAGTATTGAAAACCTAACATAATAATGTAAAGTATATGACTGTATCACCATAAAGAATAACTCGATATGCGAACATATAAAACCCTTAAGAGAAAATATCTCTATAGACAACACCGAAGAAAAAGAAAAGGAAGAATCATATAATAACAACTGAGGATATTACAACACTACATGCTAGAGTCCGAATCGGACGATACTACTCTAAAAATAAGAGTCAATTATAACTTGATTCTTGTAAGATAACCGTCAAGATTATTTGAGTATTATGTAGAATATCTAGATCAAAAACTCAGACCTAAGATGTTGTAAGATTAGACGAAATCACAGTCTCAGAAATCTTACACTAAATCATACTAAAAGTTTCTGGAAGGATCTTACTATTACATACTTAGGTCAGACAATCAGACGGTAAGATCACACAAGATCGTACCTTTGATCTTGTAAGATCAGACGAAAAATGTACGAAAAATCGTAGTGCCTGTAAAACTCACATCAAGTCTTGATATACGATTCTTACAAGATTGTACAAATAATTTATAGCGCGAAAGTCTTGATAGAAAATCTACAGGAAAATGAATTTATTTTGTTGTAGATTTTGTGGCAAGATTTTCGTGCCATAAGTTAATCTCGTCTTGCAAGAATCGTACATGAAGACTTGATGTAAGTTTTGCAGACAACACCATGATTTTTTCGCACGATTTCCATCTGATATTACGAGATCATACATGATTAGATTTCAGATCCCAAAATCTTATGTCTGATTTTTTGACCTGGGTAAGATTTCTCCTATAATCTTATAGTAATATCTTACAAAATCAGAGGTATGATCTTGTAAAATCCTACTGTTTGATAGTTTGACCTGCGTGTTTTACTTGCTGAATACAAATAATTGACAAAAATATCTCGAGTCTTCGGAGCACCTTTCAGATACGAATTAATAAATTTCATTTAGAGTATTAAGAGTAAGATTTCGAGATTTGAGAAATATTCAATAAACCGAATCTATATTCAAAAATTTTCAATACGATCGAGTCTACTGTGTACACTATGGACTAAATGACCGTTTTGTGTATATAAAAAAAAACAAAATCATTATGTGAATTTTTATCAGACTTAGCAATGAGGAAGAAAGCATTTAATATGATATCAAACTGTTCTCTGTTGCCTTTGATTCGATGAGTTTAGACATGAATTAGACCCTCGGTTTTTTTTCATTCTATACTTCTCTATCAATGTCTAATACGTTCGAGATGCTTTGCTACTTCTTGGATGCTGATTAGAGTCAACTATTTTTGGATTTCTGTCTTTATTCCAACTCAGTCTATAACTAAGTAGTTTTTATGTGGAATGAAGTAAGTTTTTATGATTATCTTCATTAACTAAGGACAATATTTGACTTTCGCTCATGAGGTTAAGGTTCATAATAATCACTATTTTATTAAAACAAATAATTCATTAGATAAATTTTGAAAATAACTTTTATATGTTTTAATTCAATATAAAGACGAAAATTTTGTTTCTTTAGACTTGTTGAATATCTTGGCGAAGATGTAATTAAAGATAAAGATCTTTGTTGTCGTTTTGTTATTGCATATGGTCCACGTAATGCATCTGTAATTGAACGTGCTATATCATTAGCTATATTTCAATCAGAACAATCAATACGTAATCATTATTTACATAGATGATTATGTCTTTCAACAATTGATAATCTTGATATACAAGATATACTTGATTGAAATTATTATATTGAACGTTTTAATAGTTATATACAAAAAATCATTACTATTCCAGTTGTATTACAAAATATTCGTAGTCCTTCAAGACGTGTATCACACATTCTGATTGGTTACATAGACATTTGTTGAAAAAAAAGTTTATATAAACAAAAACTTATAACTGATGCATTAAATTCAATTGATAAACAAACAAACAAACACATACATATTGATAATAATGAACAACAATTAATATAAATGATATTGAAGATATTAGAACTGATAAAACGAAATCTTCAATAACAATAGGAAAAAACAAAAAAAAAACCAACAAAAACATTAAAACGTAAACGTAATGAATTAAATTATAAATCAATCACACGTCAATGGACAATTGTTCTTACGAGGGAACATTCCCAAGTTTCACATCGCTTTTGAGTCGAGAGTATAAGCATCATGTAGGCCATAATGGTTTATGAATATCCTGAAAAAAGTTCGTGCTGCTAGCTTATTGGTGTCGAGATATCGCATTTTTAGGATATTTTTAAGCACAAACCCATGGTTCCCCTCAGGAATACCAGGAAAACTGAGTTTCGAACTTTGACTTGAAATTTTACCTAGAGACAAGTAGTAAAGGGAATAGCATATTGTGAAAATTTTAGATCTTTTGATTGTTTCTATCCTAAGATATGGCTGTGATAAAATCGCTCACATACACGGACAGACTCGATGTTCATATTACAGGATAAAATCAAATCAAAAGATATGAAACTATCAGAATAAACTATTCCCATTAAAATCTATCTCTATGCAAAGTTTTAAATCAAAATTCAAAAATTAGTTTTTTTTGGTGTCCGTGAGGGGGACCACGGCATTCGTTTTTAAAGAATACCGTAAAAATGCAATATCTCAGCATCAGCAAGCTAGCAGCACGAACTTTTTTCAGGATATTCATAGATCATTAGGGTCTACATGATGCTCATATTCTCGATTCAAAAGCGATGTGACACTTGGGAATGTTCCCTCGTTAGTCCACTACCATTATTTGGACAAACAACAAATGAACATATTAAATGGCTTAATTATCAAAAACTTAAATGGAATATTCAACATGAACAACGTCATCAACCATCAATAATATCTAATAATCCTCAAATATCATCAAAACAAAAAAAAATAAATTCAATGAATGAAAAAATCGATACATATATTCGTCATGTAGCTGTACATTTACACACGTGTTCATGACAAATAATATCACATATGAATTAACTGATCAACTCGGTATACTTAAAACATGATGTTCAGTTGAATATGAATTAGTACAAATAAAAATAAAAGTTCCAAGAATTTTCTATATTAATTATTGTACATCAATTAAATTAAATTCTAATCAGACACAACGATCTGCTAATTATGAACGTGTTATACGTAATTGTTCACAAAAAAGTGAATTTTTTATTACTACATTGTTCACAAGCTTATTATTTATATGAATATCATTTTAGATGAAAATATATTTTGTAATTATTATACAGATATAATGTTTTATAAATATAAATTTTCTGAAATTTATAGACGTAATAAATTAAATGTAAATCAATATCCCTAGGTTATATTAAGATTAAGCAATTTTTTTTTCTAGATAAATAAATATAGAACATTTACTAAAGAATTTAAAAAGACGAAACAGTAAAGCAATCCAAACAGAATTTGATTATCTCTTCATATTTATGTATGCCTATGTTGTCGATCGTTTTTCATCAAATCAAGTAAGAAAAATACTTTTCTTAAAAATATATTTTTTATTTTTTCTAAAGGTAATCTACAATATAATCGAGTGCAGTAGAAAAGATGACGATTACTACAAACTCGAATATAAAATTAATGGAAAAGATACTGCTATTCATATTACAAATAACCTGAAAGAAGGAAAAGAAATAGTTACTCTTCATGCATTACAAGTAGGATATAGTAAAATGAATTTAAAAAATTCTTTTTTTTTATGAATTGCAGATTGTATCAGAACCTATTCAATTGAATGGTTTTGTGAAAAGGAAAAACAATCGTTGTCAGTAAGATATTATTCTAAAATACGCATTCGCATTTTTAATACACCGATATTAAATGAATATGTGTCTTTTCTAGATATCAAAATTTACAAGTGTTGGACGTCATGATGAAGAAATTTTTTGATTCTTTATGATCAACAACTGATAATGAACAATCATCATCTTTTCTTTTTTTTTCAAGTTAAAAAAACTTCTATTTTTTTTTCTTCTATTGTACTGATGTTCTTTCTGTTTTTTTGTTGGTTCATACATACTGTCATGTCCATTGGACATGATGCATCCTTTTTATGGTTCTCTTTATTTTCTATCATTTTGTTCTATATCACGATTGATTTTACCTTTGAAAAGTTTATTTGATATCAACTCAGATGCATCCACTTATTAGACTTAATGTTTTAAATTTATCGAAAATATCGTTTATAGCTTATTTATTGAAATAAGAACATGGTATATGAATTTTCTAGTAAAATCTTTATTTGAAGCTTTATATAAAGTTCATCCTAACGAAGATAAACAATGATATACAATTTAATACTTGTTAACTAAATTTTGTGACATATCTAATCGATAGAATATTTGAAATATAAAACAAAAATTAATTTTTTAAATTGGATACTTTTAATGAAAAATTAAACGAAGTTTGTTTTCATAAAACAATTGCAACTTATCACAATATTCTTAAAATAATTGATACATGAGAAAAACATCAACATTTATATATTATAACTGATCTTTATCGTAAAAAGCATCTAGAATATTATATATTTTATTTTCATCCATATTGAATATTACAAATAATTAATGTTTCAAATGAATATAGAAAGAAAACGAAGAAATGATCATCATACACAACATATCTCTCCAGAACTATTCATATTTCTCATATGTCATATTAAACAAAAGACAAATGAATAACAATAACATTCTTCTAATCATAAATTCATTAAGTTATGAACAATTTAGACTATTAAAAAATGCATTATTATTGTTATTGTTGACGATATCGGTTAAACAGAATAAACGGACAGATATATATATATTGACTTTTCTATGGTTGAATAAAAAAATAAATGGAAATAAATATGAAAAATTTATGTATCGAATTGAATGATTTACCTGATGAAATTCTTTTGATTATTTTCAAAAAACTGGACAATCTTAAAGTACTTTATTCTTTTCAAGGAGTCAATGAACGACTGAATAAAATTATACATGATCCAGTATTTACAAGTCGTTTGAGCTTTCTCAACTGGTCGCTTAATAAATTTATCAATAAATTTTCTTCTGATATAATACTTGGTCGATTTTGTTTACAAATTTTACCTGAAATTCATATGAAAATCAAATGGTTGGATCTTGATTCATCATCTATGAAAAATATTCTACGTGCTGCCAATTATCCTCATTTACATGTACTCGGTCTATATAATATCGAAGAAGAGACAGCTAAATGTCTTTTTAACGGTAAGGAAATCTCAATAGAATTGTTTTAATTCTAAATAAGAAAAAGATATGCATACTAAATTTATTATGGACTATATTTAAATGAGACAATTGATGAGAAGGAGAGATTATTTCTAAAAGGAAAATTCCTTTCTATTAAAAATTATGTTTATCTTTTGACTATTTGTATTGATCTTTGATTATAACGAGTAGATGTAAAATTGATTATGTTACATGTTTAGATGAAAGACTGTCATGTATTTTTACAAATCAAATTACAATACTTATTATTTCAATTGATCCAGGTGAAAAACAACTGTCAGCAATGG